GAGCCAACTGGAAGACGAGGACCACGCTGAATTGATGACATTCAGGAATGAATATGGACAAAAATTATCATTCGTTGTACAGGTATGAATAAGATATTTACTATTTGTCATCATGACGTTCAGCCGTGCTTTTTATGGGATTCCCGTTACCCACAATGGGATAAACATGAAAAAGCGGGCTTTTGGCCAGAGAGAGTTTTATCCACGGAGGGAAGCTGTCGTTAATATCGCACAGCTGTCAAAGCGTGATGCACTACTAGCGCTGCCATGGGTATAATATTTGTACAAAGTGTAACTCGCAACCACCCCTTGTCAATTATGGCGGAGCATTCAGCACAACGGCTATACCGCTGCAAAACGGTCCTTCGTCGGATCCGTCCGGGCAGTCCAGTTGATGGTCGCAGAATTTGGCCAAGTCGATGCAGACATCCACCGTAAGACATCGATGCATGTTCACCGGGCATTTGAGACTCTGGTCACAGTGCGAGTCTTCTTCGTCTGATCTGTCGATGTGACCGTCGACGGTGATGCCACAGTCGGCATCGCCGTCACATCGGTACCCCAGCGGTATGCATATACCCGTCAAATGACACGTGAATTGATCGTGTGAGCATGTCTTTGGGGCTGAAATGTCCAATAAGATCGTTTTAAGACTAACGCCGGCTCAGCGACATTCCAAACTTACGACAAACGTCCGCTGGTTCGTCCGCGTGATCCTGACAGTCGAACTCATGGTCGCAGTACCACTTCATCGGAATACATTTTCCAGAATCAATATGACCGTCGCAGAAGAACTGTCCCGGACCACATGCACCTGTAGGTAAAGAATCAATTAGAATAAACCGTCGGGCATCGATTTGCATACACGTGTTCGCCAAAATTTAAACTTACGCAAAGCCAAAATCAAATACCTAACAGGAAGTTGCAAAATGTCTAAATAAATGGACGTTTGCTCGATGCCTGAAACAAACAATGATGCTGCAGCTAAATTATTCATGACTTTCGACCCAAGCCATGGCAGCTTGATAATTTTCTATTTCATTAAATGTTCCCTTTAAACTGCAATTTGCAGAAATTTACAGCTTTTTACAGCATAGCGCTACCGTTTACTTGGTTTTCATTTTCTGTTCTTCACTAATAACATCCGCATTTGTACCATATATCCTACCTAACCATCAGGCCATCATTTCACGTGGTGAAATAATGAAATGCGCTCTCCGCCAATCATCAGTTATTAGAGAAATGCACCACGTACCCCTCACGAAGCTGTTCACGATGTGGCGCCTGTTCACATTATACACTGATCTAAACATTCTTATCTCAGCGGAGTTCAGCAGTCAATCGTTATTTTTCAGTGTGGTCTAACAAATCATTTATCAGCATAATTGTAATTCTATAGAGTATACAGTTAATTCTCTGCACCGGGGTTCGAAGCATCACGATAGGACATCAGTCTTGGTCACACGGCTCTGCCAAATAAACTTCTGACTACTCCTGCTTTTGCGCATGGTGATTAGAGTCGAATTGCAGTTAGTGTTCCGTGTGGGTAGGTTCCCGATCTCTCCGATCTTTGTCAGCATATCCATGGAGATGTTAAAGAGGCTCTCAATAACTATCATACAGCTAAAACAATATGGTGAAGACACGTTGGTACTTTTGTGATACTGAAAAACAACGATCTACCAGCTGTTTTCTAATATCTAAATACGTCGAATCCACCGATCCAGTTCAAAATGGAAGTCGAGGGAACAGATCTATTTCTCTCCCTAACTGCAAAGTAAGTAGAGCAAACGATAGGTCACTGAAAACTGTAGCCTATTGGATTTCTATTGAATCTTAGAAGGACGGTTTCGCTCTGAAAGCAGTGCTGCGTCTATTTTGTTATTCAGTGTCGCATGTTGGTCCCTTGGCCGATGTTTGCAACATTTCTTGCAAATGAAACTTGAGGGATAGGAAGAAGACGTTGCGCTCATCTAATGTACCCAGCAGAATCAACCTCATTTTTCTAATATCCATTTCCACTGCCACTACCTGCACCCTATTCCAGTGTTCTACTAGATATATTTAGGTTCACAAATAAGCTACTTTAATACATTGCTGTGCAGCTGCATCGTCCAATTACACTTATTTAAGTCCAGAGTCATGCTGAAATAGTTTCTTTCGCTTCAGGCTTATCTTCAAGCAATTAAAAAGGCTATCGTTGATTAGTATTTATCACTCAGCTGCATTTCATTCCAGCCCGACCGTCAAAAACGTTGCTAATGTATACTCACCAACATCAACAACAAATAGGCCGTCCAACTCGTGATCGAACACATCACTTTCTGTAGTCAAACCCGTGTAAGCGGTTGACAAGGCGCACAAGACGACCAACCGGAAGCGATCAAGCATCGCGTGTGCGCTCGAATAGTTCAGCTGGCGACGGTGTTCGACAGTGCAACGACGATGGCACGCATTTCCTAGAGCTAAACACGAAGTCACTTGCAAGCACACACGGATGATAGAACATGACGATCACTGAGGACAATCGCGCCAGCGAATGAAACACGAGGGAACTTGTGATGTCAGCTGAGTGAACTCAACAACACAATGAGACGACAGCCAGACAACTGCTTACATGGTAGCCGACACGTTTCAGAATTAAGTGGGAAATTTTATGCTGTGCGCGGAGCTGGCATTTGGAAACGTAAACATTTAATTCACACTTTCCTGTCATGCGGACTAATCTGCTAAGGAGAAAAGAATTCTACCAATTTCAGAACAGGAAGAAAAGTTTATATCCGTTGGAATCTTGTTCTTCCTTTCAATTCCATTTCTGGTGGCTTTCTTGTCGTGAACTTAATGATGGAACGCCAAAATCCAAAACGTTAATAAAAACAGTCGAAATTGCGAGTACTGACGGACGAAGTTCCCAACTTCTGGAAACGAATTCCACAACTACCCACAACCGAAAACTTGATGCATGTTAAACCAGTAGTATGCTCAGCTGTGGCACAGATTTCGTGTTCAATGGGAAAATTCATCATTGTAATCACACAGCAGACGACAATCACTACTGATCAATTCCACGGGTCCCGGTGCATATAAGGTAACGGCAAGAACCGAAATACGTTCTCCACTTTGCAATAGAATACACGGTAGGCAGCGGGATACAATTAAGATCCCTTGAGCGTATACAAGAATGAGGGTCTACCATCTATATGCAAAGTATCTGCCTCACTGGCTTATCCAAAGGCGAAGAGACAAACGCAACTTCTGTTCTGTTTCATTATACAACACCGCACTTCGCCCTTGTAAGAAATCACGGACTTTGGTCTTTACGATGTTATGTTAACGCTAGATGCAGTGGGATCGACGAAGAGTAGTCAAACGACATAATTATAACCAATAGTTATTAGTGACACATGAGCCGCAAACCAACATGAACGGATACAAACATTCGGCTTACTAAAAGGATTCTCTCTTCTGGAATCGAGATACATGCATTAGATGCATAAAGAGTGAAAATTTGGGTACAGGATGAGAAAGTGATTGCTGGCTTAGAACTAACTACAACTGGTTTAATTAATACTGCAAAAAAGAATGAAGAGTACATGTCATTAACCCGGTTATATAAGAAAGTCGAACAACCTGCCTGCTACGAGACATAAGTGGTGGAGACATTTAAAAGGGCCAAATCCACGTGATATCTGAATACATGCGGTGAGTCTATGGTCAAAATTATCATAGTATTGGCTTCGACAACATATTTTTGGCACTAAAGAGAGCCGTGCATTTCGAGCAACATGTACATATAATGCAACAACTGACACAATAAGTCGTTTAACCAGTAAGCGTTATAAAATTACGATTTTTGGCTTAAAGCCAAATTGAGTTGATTTACACCAACCCTGTTGTTGAAAATGATCCATACGAGTAATTAAACAGGGTTATTCGGCAAATATTCCTGCTTTTAGAAGCCCAGCGACTATGTACTCTGGTTGCACAAATGATGATATAGAATGAGACCATGCCATCGAGATGGCTCAAAATTCCTACTGCTGTGATGAACATGTCACGTATAAAAACTATCCAAGGCTGACGCATAACAATGCAGCGCAGTACATACAAAGTAGCAGTTCTTGGTTACTGACAGTAACTTAGGTCCATTCCATCATGTATTGAGTGGACTGGATATTTCACGTGAATTCGCCACTGCGACTTGATGAAATGCAGTCTTCTCCTTGTAGCGGCCTCACTGCTAAACGCTAAGAAAGCAAAAACAGGAACGGTTACAAACTGAAGATGATCAACTCACTAAAAGAAGTGACATTACAGTAGCTCAGAAAAACATAAAGCTGATCTCTTGAAAGTGTGACAGAATCAGAGTTGCTTCATCTTCATCTTCCACCGCCGCTTCTCCTTTCAGGTCGCGGAGGCAGACGCGTCAGACAGTGCTTCCAACGTTCCCGATGCTGTGCCAGAGTCTGAGCCTCGGCAAAAGACAAATGCAATCTGGAACAGATTCCTTTAATATGTTTGCACCAGGTTAATCTTGGCCGTCCCCTGGGTCTTTTGCCGGTCGGATTTGTAAGGAACAGTAGCTTAGCCTTCCTTTCTGGAGGCATTCGCAACACATGCCCAAGCCACCGCAGCTGTGACTTCTCAATCTG